TTATGGGGAGCTGCCCACCGAGGTAGAAGAATTTCCCCATCCCCTAAAGAAGAGAACCAGCAGCAGAAAGTTTAAAATCCTAAATCAACTTGGCATCCTAAAGTCTTTCTCTTGGCAGGAATGTAGCAAGCCCTTCCAAACAGTTTTGTTTAGAGCTGTGTTTCTTTAAGAGGCGGGGACTTCAACTCCCAGAATGTCCCAGCTAACATGCCGGCTGGGGAATTCTGGGAGTTGAAGTTTGCACTTCTTAAAGTTACGGAGAGTGAGAAATCCTGATTTAGAGTCTTTCCAAGGCTGACGTTGTTGAGATGGTTTTTAAGGCAGCCAAGGTGTCAATTCTCAGTGACTATATGGATTGTCTCCAAGATCTGTCTCCAGTCGGAACCTTTAGGTCTTTCGAAGCTTGCAAAATGTTTTAAAGATTGCTATAAAGAGTGCAGTCACACTAAGGAGAAATTTTATCTGAGTTTGGTTGTTTTCTTGCAGATGTCCCATTATCAATACTGGGTGACATCACTGCTGATGGTCTTACTATCTTGGATAAAGAAATGTCTGCAAGGAAACAAACCAAGCTCACATTCCAACCTTGAGATACATACATATATTCTGCTTTATGGGAAAAAAATTTCTGAGAAGCGAGAACCATTAATCAATGGAATAGCTTGCTTCCCTCCGTGGTGGGTTCTATGCTCTCAGTTTGGAATTGCGAAGACCAATGCCAAGGTTTCGCCTGCTATGTTAACAGTTCTTCAAAGACGGGAAAAAAATATCGTCCTATCTGAACAACCCAACTGCTGATATAGCTAGAAAAATAGCATGATGGATTGATTGACCCATCAATACATTAGATGTCTCTTGTCCGCAGCGGTAGACAGGTGCTCATCAATAGAAGAGTCTTGAAATGGTCAAAGCAGAAAGATTTACAGAGAGGTGATGTTGGAGGAGGGAGGACACAAGATAAAATTAAGAGTTCTCCTTGATGGGCCTCACAGCTTCCTATCGAAATAAATCATGAGAATTAGCCTAATGCTAGAGTGAATAATAAGACATCACAGAAATATTAGTTAAAAATTAGTAGTGCTACAGCAATTGAATGCTTGCAGTACACCAAGCCATCATAGGTGGTTTACACATCGCAACTAAGCTACGTTGGTCCATCACACGAAGGGGAAAAACCATGATGGCGCATTCCGGCTAGATCTGGCTAACAATCTTGGTTGAAGAATGATCAATGTGTCATTACACTGCTTTGACCTTCCAAGTTGGCTTTAGTTTATGGATCTGGCAATTCATTCATCTGTTGTGGGACTAGCCCAGTGGTCGCCAACCAGTGGGCTGGGTACCACTGATGGTCCATGAGAAAATGTTGGTGGTCAGCAGAGAAATGTCACCCCCAAAGCAATTAATCCAGGCTGCATGGGAACACAAGGCTGCGCCGCCCACATGGCCTGTGGGAACACAAGGCTTGTGTCGCTTGCATTGCGAACCACACAAGGTAGTGAGGGGAGGGGGAAAGGGCGGAGGGGAAGAACTTGCCCCACTCACCCCACGTGCCTGGCCTGGCCACTGGGCTGCTTCTTTCTTCTTCTGCTTTTGGCTGCATGCAAGGAAAGCAGCCAAAGTCTTTCTTTCTCTCCCCCAAACTCTGCCAGAAATGAGTCTTTGGGGCCCTGCAAGGCCTCCTGCTCCAAGAGGCTGAGCTGGCAAAGTCTTATTTCTGGCAGACTTTGGGGGAGAGAAAGACTTCTGCAGCTTCTGCTGCTTTCCTTGCATGAAGCCAAAAGTCTCTCTCTCTCTCCCTCCCTCTGAGAACAGAGCTGGAGACGGTATCCTGCGATCCCAAATAAAGAACGATTGATCAGTAGGAAAATGGGGTGGGGAATTTTCCTGCAGACTTTTTGGGGGATTTTCCCAGGGTCTCTGCAGAAAAAGCACAGGACTGGCAGCTCTGGAATGACCAAAGGGCCAATCTTGTGACTACTGCAGCTCTGGAATACGGGACTGACTTTCTCACCAACGCCAGCAAGCCACCCTCAGTCAAAATTCACATTAGTGGAATGTGAATTAAAATTATGAGTTTGGTGGTCCCTAGGTCCAAAAGGTTGGCGACCCCTGGACTAGCCAACACCCTGGTTTGATTGCATGTGTGAATTGTGCCGGTGTTTCCAAACCAGCTTGCTTGGAGGTTCCTTGGTGTATCTGAAAACAGCCACTCCAAATGGCCTCGGTTGCCTCAGAAGGTCTGATGGGCTCCCGGCCTAACCTGTCCAGCCCCCTCCTCCTCCTCCTCTAGGCTCCTCTTTCCTGACAACTCACCCCAGCTGAGCAATAGCTGTATCCCGGCAACCGTCATAGCAACCAGGAGAGACCCTGCTACTCCAATGGGCAAACAGTTGCTAGGAGACCAACTTCAGCTTTCCTTCTCCCATTCCCTGCTCTTGGGGAGTCAGCAACCACTATCTTGCAAGGATGAGATCATGCCCAACCAAGAGAGGCTTGGCACCTATGTCCTGCAAGGTTTGAAGCCCACCTGGCATCCAATTCCTCCCACCCCAGGAGAGATGCCGAAAACAAAGGTCTCTAGGGAGTGGAACAAAAGTGTTCTATTTTCTCAGCGGGAAGATGACTTTGATTAATATACAAACATACATCCATCCATCCATCCAGGGGTGGGATTCTACCAGTTCGCACCTATTCTCTAGAACTGGTTGTTAATATTCTAAGCAGTTCTGAGAACCGGTTGTTAGAAGAAATTTTTACTGGCCTAATCCTGTAAGGAAGGCAGGAAGGAAACATTCTGGTGTTGCTTACAGAAACTGCCTCTCCGTTAACCCTTATTCCATTCTTGGCAGGACTAGACTTCCTGTCTCAGGAACTTCTCTGGAGTTTTTTTTCCCCCTCCTTTGCTGGTACTTTGCTTGTGTGGAGTGACCGTTCAAAGTTACAATGGCCCTGAAAAAAGTGACATGACCATTTTTCACACTTACGACTGTTGCAGCATCCCCACAGTCATGAGGCCAGGCAAGATGCGTGCCTCGATGTGAGTGAGTTGGCCACACCCAGCCAGTCACACGACCACCAAGCCACGCCCACCACCTAAGCCACGCCCACAGAACTGGTTGTTAAAAAATTTGAATCCCACCCCTGCATACATACATACATACATACAAACAAAACAATACGAAGCTTTACAAAACAATACGAAGAGAGCCTGTTGCTTCGTTCCTTTTTTTGGAACTATCTCTGTATATTTTAAAAAGATAGACTGTTTAAAAAGGAAGGAAGCAACAGGCTCTCTTCGTATTGTTTTGTAAAGCTAACATCCACTGGGCACAGGTGGGGATGAGTCTGCCAGTATGTTTGTAGCCAAAAATAGGGGAAAAGAATATCGGATTTGCAAGGGATAGAAATAAAAACTTCCCTGACTGGCAACTCTTTTCATTCTTTCTGTGTCTCTCTTGGCCATTTCAAGGCTCGTGTGATAAAGGAATTTTAACCGGTGTTAAAATGTTTACGGAGTGAACTCTTGCAGAGAACTTGTTCAGCCCTGCGCTGTAATTCCCTTTCTGCAGCTCTCAACCTGCAAAACGTGTAATGCAAAGCCTCTCTTTCTCTCTCTCCCACCCCTGTGTGTGTGTGTGTGTGTGTGTTTGTTGAAGCCCCCCCACCCTGCTCTTTTCTCGGAACAAAGGCTCCCGCAAAAGGTAACAATTTGCACTGCCAAGCAAAGTGACAGCGATTGTTAAAAAGAATAGCAGTGCATAGTAATTACTCTACTCCTTCTGGCACCCTAGGAACTCGGAAATTTTCCCTCCAAAGGGGGAGAGAAAGGGAAGGGGAAGGAGAAGGTTGAGGGGGGGGGAGGTCTTAATCCCCCAGACTAGCACTGCCACCTGCTGGCATCGCATGACAAATGCGAGCAAACTGGCTAATTTTTGCAGGAGGATTAGAAACCTTGCAAAAAAAAATAAAGCAAGGCAAAGCGGGGACATGATAGCAGAAATCCAGTATTTGAGGCGCTGCCCCATAGAAGAGGAGGGTCAAATTATTTGCCAAAGCACTAGAGGGCAGGACAAGAAACAACGGATGGAAACTAACCAAGGAGGGAAGCAACCTGGAATTAAGGAGAAACTGAGGACAATTGCCTTCAGAAGTTGTGGGGGCGCCATCACTGGAGGTTTTAAAGAAGAGACTGGGTAGCCATTTGCCTGAAATGTCTGCCCATCACGGCTGATTTTTCAGTTGGTTTGAGGCCTTTTTTGGCCTCCCCGAGGCTTGGAAAAAGCCTCTGCAAGGCTTTTCAGGACAAATTATAGGCCCATTTCATCACTTCCCGTAATACCGGAAGTGACGAAACAGGCCTATAATTCATCCTGAAAAGCCTTGCAGAGGCTTTTTCCAAGCCTCGGGGAGGCCAAAAAAGGCCTCAAACCAACAAAAAAAAAAAAAAAAAAAACACCCAGCGCAGTGAGATAAGTTTGCCGGCGCAAATGGCTCTGCGTGCTACTTGTGGCACGCGTGCCATAGGTTCACCATCACGGCTACAGGGTCTCCTGCTTGAGCAACGGGTTGGACTATAAAGACCACTGAGATCCCTCCCATCTCTATTCTGATTCAGTGATTGCTTTGCCAAAATCCCCAAATTTCAAACTCCCTACATGGCTAAAAGAGGAAGAACATTGGAGTTCTCGTTCAATCAGGCGTGACAGCTGCAGTTCCCTTTTTGCCAGAGATGGTGGAAATCTTATCACATGAAGATGGTTTCATTTTTTTACCCCTCGGTGTTCAATTTTTCCTTTCCGTTAAACGAAGCCGAGGAAAATACCTGCACAAGGGATCTCAACGGGATCCTGCAGAGCAGATTTAACTAAGAGGAAGTGACCCAAACCAACTCAGATCATTGAGCTCGATGGCTAAGAAACCAATTCCAGATTTTCTTCATTTACTCCAGAGATGTGGGGGGTGGGGCTCTAGTATGTTCTCCAGATTTAAGACGACCACCACCAAAGTTTTCTTTTTTTCTTGAGCATCAATTTGTTCCATTAAAAAATAAATAAATGAGGACCCGGATGACAGTTTTAAATGTGCTTCTTTCCACACATATTAAAACAATACAGATATTTGGGGGGGGGGGGGGTGGGGGAAGGAAGAAGGAGGGGATTGTAAAATCACAGTGCATCAAATTCACAATATCCTGTATAAAGGGGCTCGGCCCGGATACCTCGCCTGAAAAAAACAAAAACAAAACAAAAATATTGTTAGAAGGTGATATTTAAGGAAGACTTTAGCAGCTTTTTTTTTTTTTTAAAAAGAATCTATATAAAAAGTAGATACCCCAGAGTTTTTCAAAGACATCACCTGTGCCTTTTCAGAAAGCCAACCAAACTAAAAAAACAAAACAATTCAGAGGAGGAGACCAGAAACGGAAGTTTTATCAAAAACTAACCATGTCCAAGATATTTCCGCCCCTTCCAGAACTATGAGCCTTGCTGGCACAGTGTGTTGTGGTTAGCTGGCAACAGGTGTGGACGGCTGAGGAGAGCAAGGACTCTGATGAGGGGCCAGGACCATCAGGGAGTGCACTGTTGCCTTCAGCGATTGTGGGGGCTGGCAGCAGCGATGAGGAGGTTCCCAAGGAGCCTGTGCCAAGTGTGTGTGCACGAAGGATTACTCGGAGGAAAGAACAATTACAGCAGCACAGGCGACTCAGGAGTAAGGCTGCAAGGTAATGGCCCCTCTCTCAAGAGGATAAAAGCCAGGTTTGGAAAAGCGTTCTTTGCAGAAAGCAAAGACGTTTTGAAACTCAGCCTCGTGGACATTATAGAATCTTAATTTGGTATTTGAAGATCCTTGTGTTGTGAAATATTTATCTGTGATTTTTGGCAGCCTCGCACAGTTTTGGCAAGGTTTGTGTTTATCAAAGTTAATTAGCTTGCAGCAGCCTTTTAACTGGGGATTCGTAAGACTCATTAAAAGGTTTCTGTTCCCTTTGGTTATTGTTTGTCTTACTGGAAAAGGGTTTGGGTCAGAACACAGTGGTTAGGAGAGCTGTACTGCAGGCCACTTCTGCTGACTATCAGCTGCCTGCAGTTTGGCAGTTCAAATCCCACCAGGCTCAAGGTTGACTCAGCTTCCATCCTTCCGGGGTGGGTAAAATGAGGACCCAGATTGTTGGGGGACAATATGACTCTGTAAACCGCTTGGAGAGGGCTGTGAAGCACTATAAAGCAGTATATAAGTCTAAGTGCTATTGCTATTGCTATAACCCAACTGTATTGTTAAAGCAACTGAAGGGCCAATTATTCTGGAGAATAATTATGTCATCCCTATTTCAAATGTGAATGTAAATGTAAATAACTGGAAATTTTAGTTCCTCGTGCTAGCTGAGCCCAACGGCAGACCTAAGCTTGGAAAAGAGGATGGAATTCCATTCTGAAATCCCCATAATTTTCAACCAACATTTTAAAGTTAGATTGGGGAAGTTTGACATCACTTCCCAGTTTACCAAGTTTCTTCGGTAGAACAACAGAACGGAAGAGAGAACGATTGATGAAACACCCAAGGAAGATGAATTTTTCAGACGTACTGGTAGTCCTGACTTACAACACTTCATTTAGTGACGGTTTCAAAGTTACGATGGGGCTGAAAAAAAGTGACTGATGACCCCTTTTCACACTTACGACCGGTGCAGCATTCCTATGGTCCTGTGATCCAACTTTGGACGCTTGGCTGCTGACTCATATTTATGACGGTTGTAGTGTCCTGGGGTGGGGTGGGGTCACTTTTGCAACCTTCCAACTAGCAGAGCCAACGGGGAAGCCCGATTTGCTTGGCAACTCGCTTAACGACTGCAGTGATTCACTGAACAGGCATGGCAAGGAAGGTCGTTAAAATGGAGCGAAATCCACTCAGCAAATGTCTCTGCTTAGCCACAGAAATTTGGGGCTGAATTGTGGTTGTAAGTCGAGGACTATCCAGTATCTAATTACGGGCAATGAGATGCCAGAATAAACGCAACTATTGGAGTGATTTATGTAGCCCCAAA